TAATAGAATATGATTGTTCTGTCCCTGATTAATTAGTATATTAATAAGTAAACAACGCAACATGGATTGAGATCGATGTTAAACAGTGCAAAAATTTCCTGTCACTGTTATATATAATTGTATGTGAATGGCTGTACTGGTGGTACCTCATAGTCCTTAATTATAGCCTCAGCCCTGTGCACTATCACTGATTTCACTGCTTTGAAAGGCTGCTTTAGGAAATGAAACTAAGCATCTGAACATCAGGGCCTGTAAAATTTTACTGTGTATTAATTTGAAGTGTATGTATTTTTATAGATGTTGATTGTCTTTAGGGGATGTGCCTCCCAATACAACCACTACAGTAATTATATTTCACTTTTTATTACTTTGTTCTTCTCTTTTTTGTTTTATTTTATATCACTTTAATCTTTTAATAATGGTGGAGAATGAAGTATGAAGGAAAAAGAAAGTACTGTAAGCTCATAAAAATATTTACCCCTCCAGAATTATTTTAATGCGGAATTTGTGCAATGGTATAGTCAGTGCAGAATTTATTTTTCAGGTTATATTCTGTATTTTCTTGCCTGGTGTGTGAGCATACTGTTACAACAGTGAATGTCATAAATCACTTATTAATTCATTTGGTTTTAATATATTTTTGATTTTGTTAGAAGGCTTCTAAAGTTGTTTTTGCATTTACTTCAGAGTATGAGTTCTTTTGTCACTGATTAATCATTCTCATTTGTTTTTTTTTTTAAAAAGGCGTTTGTCTTTTCTGTCAGTTTGCTGCTATTTAAAATTCTGTGAAAAACATCTGCTAGTTTTGAATTTAAAGTTGTGTTTTTCTGCATACAGTAGAGTCAGCATCAGTATGAAAAGAATTAAACAATTATTTTAATTTTTAATTTGGTTTGTTTTGAATGAAATTATTCTTTAATTTTATCCGAATTTCCAGAGATAAAGAGATGTCTAGGTAATTAAACAGCACATTTTTACAACATACATAAGTACTGTTAGGTGAAGATACTTTCAGATAATTTATGAAGAGGATATTTGAAGACTGACCCAGTGTTTGAGAAATCATCTTTTATGTTTTCCAGTAAGTTGCATTTATGTCACTGTCCAGTGTGTTCACTTGAAAATGCACTGTGAAAATCAAAAGATAATTTGTAAACTCATCATAAACTGATGAGTGAGAATTGAAACACTCATCTTAAGTGTTTCAAGAAAAAAATATAGAGGAGTCCTATATGCTTCAAAGTGGAAAACTTAAAATATAAAAGGTGGTTGGTGGCAATACTGAAAAAATAATAATTGATATAGAGTAAAATTTTACTGCAGTGCTGTTCAACCAGTGCTTTAATTTTTGTTTAGTAAAACTTCTTTCTTGTAAGTGAATTGGATACGCATGTGGACTGATGTTAATGTGTTTCAACATACTAATAATGATGTTTCTCTTACTGAGGTTTAGCCTGGCATCTTTCAATGGCAAAGTGCCTGTTGATATTCCTGTGAGTTTAGGCAACTGCAGTGCAAGACAGATGAAATAGTACTTTTAAAATTATGTGTGGAAGTAATAAGAATATTAAAGTTATGGAGTTAAGCACCAGAAGCTGCCTGTTCCAACCTTAATGTAGTCTTGTTGTACGTATACATTATGATAATTCTGTTCCTTGTTATACTGAAAATCTGTTTCAGATTTTGGTAAATGCAAGATTGTCATCTGTCTTTTTGCGGTTCTGTGCTCCATCTCTTGTCTCTCACATACATTGAAAAGTTAAGTACCTTGAAGAAATACTCTCTGATCATGTTGTAAAAAGCTGTATCACAAGTGATAGGCACTGAGGGATCAAATTAACGCTGCATGAGAAGCAGAGTTGTCAGCAAAATACTTTAGTTGGTGGTTTGTTTCTGTTTCTCTCCCTACAATTACACTGGGGCCCAGATAGCACAGCTACAGAACTGCTTGCAGCTTCCCGGAAGAAGAAATGGGAGCTAAAAGTAACACAAAAACTAGTTTTGAGCAGTTTTGGAAAGATGCTGTCTGATAAAGTTCCTTGCAGGAACAGTGGAGAAGATTCATTTGTTCTGTAATTTCTTTGTATTTTAAATTCTGATTTTATTGTGATTACCTAGTGCTGGACTGGACTTGACATATTTCAGGATAGAGTGTATACATTTGTGAGACTATTGCTGTTTGCAGGAGGGGGAAGCACGTTGGGTTTTTATTGTATGACCTAGTGTCAAGTTGGGAGGCTTTAAATGTTTCAAACTATTGTCAGAGTTTTTAAACCAAAGTAACAGGTAGCGTTCAGAGTATGGACTGTGTGTTTTCAGCATGATAATGTGTGGCTCCTACCAAATTATTTTCAAAGAATGTTTTCTGGTGTTTGAAAAAGAAGAATTTAATTGATATCCCTAAATATACCTGGATTAGATGTTTCTGGTTTCTGAGTTGCTGTTAGCATGTTCTCTTGGATGGTACTTTTCTGCCATCCCTTTCACATGAGGTTGTCTGCTGTTTCAGCCATGGTCATTGCCAGAATTCTTGTGTAGAATTCCTACTCTTCTTATAGCTCCTGCTGTGACTACCTCTAAATATTGGTATTTTAAGATATATTTATATAAATCTATAAACACATACACACATGCACCAACACGCACATACATGTGTGTTATGAGTGTGTGTAAGGGAGCTGATTCTGATTTTTGAATACTGATGAAAGTAGCAGAAGTAAAATTGTTCTTCAAAACCAATGTTTCCTCTCTTGATACTTTTTATAGAAATCATTAGACTCATGTGAATCTTTAAAGATCCTGTCATGGAATCATTGAGAATTTCCCTCTGCACTTTCATGACAACTGAAATCTATGGATGTATTCTTGAGTTCAACCCTGCAGGTTCAACATCTGGCTGATGGAAGCAGAATATTTTCACCAGAGGTTCTTGCACTTGGAATTTGCTTCCTTCTGTGGGTCTGTGTCAAAACCTGACTGAGCCTGTTTAACTCGAGGCAATGGTGTAAAGCCCATCTGTTCCTTGAAACTTTTCCCTGAAGGAGTGATCTAGAGTGTATTTATGTTCTCAGCTGTGCTCATGCTTTTTCAAATACTTAGCTGATGCTGTTTGACTAACTTGTGGTTTGGTTTTTTTAAAGGTATGCTGAATGGATGTATTCTTAAAGCAAATTTTAAGAACGTTGTAGAACTTCCCTATCTTTAACTTGTAAAGACAGTGAAGAACTTGTGTCCCTGCTTACTATAAATGGAGAAATAACAATGACAATAATGAACTGCTGCTGTTAAGAGGGCTCAAATGTAGAGAACCCACTGAGACTCCTGTTGTTCTACTTAAAATATGCAGAAGTCTCTGGAAATAAGTGGAAGGGCAAAGCATATGTAACTGAATACGTTTGCACACCTGGTTTTAAACTATTCTGACAGCGTAATTGGTTGTTACGTTCTTTAGAGGGGAAAAGTACTCGTAATTTTGCCAATAGTTTCACTGTCTTTGTATTTGAACTTGGAATTACCGATTTAATTTGGTAGGTAGTCTATGTGATAAAGCAAGGTGACATTCAAATTCTAGACAAAATTTTCATCATGAACCTTTGTTGAGTGCTCTTGGGGGAGAAAAGGTACAGTTAAGTAATTAGCAAAATTAAAAAAAAAAAGAACATTATGAAACCTTTTTCTGGATGAAAAGATTGTATCTATCTGCAACATCATGACTTATTGTCAGTGGTTTAGATTAACATTTGCATGGGAGGAAAAGAGACAACATTATTATGAAGGTGCTTCAAGTGCAAATATTGGGGCTGAATTGCATTCATTTGTTCTTGTAGTATGTTTGAATTAATAATTTCATTAACTAAAGATACTGAGGCTTGTCTACATGAGGAAGCTATCACAAAATAAGTTATGGTATAAATTTAAAGTATAATCGCTATTCAGCGCTAACTCCTTATAAGAACAATTTTATTCTGTACTACAAATGACCTTTCACAGTTTAGTTCACTGAAAAACATGGAAGTTCCCTCTAGCCTCAACGATGAATAAATATTTTTTGTAGGGAGTTAGTGCAGAATAGTTACTACATGATAAAATTACTTTGTTAGCTTGTTCTTACTCCACTGGCCCCCTTAAAAGCATCCTTAGGACAAAGTATAATATTACATTACAGGTGTGTTTCTACAGGTACTTGTATGTTGTATATGGACTTGGAGCAAAATATATTCCTTCTGAGAATATTTGTGAAAAATGTTTAAATTGTTGATAATATGAATCAATTTAGAGATATTAAGTCCAGTATGCTTCACTGGAACTAAAGATGCTGATTGTACAAATTTGCCTATTGTTATTTGTAAATAGACTCGTTGACTATGTTATACTTACTTACTATGTTTAGCTGACATATAAGTACTAATGATGTTAAGAAAGTTGTAGGATTCACAGCAGCTGGTATGTTTAGGATTCAGTTGTCAGTCATAAATAACTTATTTTCAATAATGGTAAAATCACAAAACGACCTTTATTCTCTTGCGTAATACTATGTGAATATGACAAAGCTAAATTCCCACATGTCATTGCTTATGTAATAGATAAGCAAAACAAATAACCACAAGAGCTATCCTATGTCCAGCAGCTTCTGAAGATGGCTGCTGTTCTGCTGCCTTCTGGCTTTCTAGCACAGTGAATTCGGGACACAAATATGGAAGCCTTCACATGAGAATATCGGAAAATGATTGAATGTGTGCATCTCTTAAGCTGCATGAAGACATTAACACTGATTGTGCATTAATGTCTTTAAATACAATACGCATTTTGGCATTTCATAAGAATGTAATTTCAAATACTTTCATTTGCTTGTTTTGCTGTTTTTACCAAAAAACTACTGTTGTAAAACAAAAGTGTGCATTACTTTTCAGGAGCTTTGATCACATTAAGATTTATTGTCTTAAAATGTATCTCTCTGCATTTTTTTAAATATACTTTCCTTGGTTCTACAATTTTCTAAGAAAATAGAAAAACTGGGACTAGAGCTGAATGGGAACAAACAGCATTTGGAACAAGCCCAGCAGGATGTGACAGGAGCCAGAGAGGAGTGCCTAAAACTGACAGAACTGCTGAGTAAATCTGAACACCAACTGCACCTCACCAGGTACCCCTTATCCTATTACATGCTTTAGTATCAATTTCATTCTGCTAATTTTTTGCCACAGGCTTCACCACAGTTGTTATAGATACTTGCAGTCATTGACTGCATGGGCAGCCCTCAGTCATGTTAAAAGTGGAGATTTAAGTAAGTGAGTTATGAAGTACAAAGTGAGTTATGAACTATAATTTATGAAAGTGAATTACTGGTATGAAGAAAAGGCAATGTTCATCCAGTGATGAGGTAGCATGCTTTTGGGAAGGAAGAAGAGCAGGGAACAGTGCAGCTACGTTCTTTTTGTTGTTGCTGTGTTTGGTAGGACAAAGACATTTCAAATGTTATTTGAGACTGTAATGTATAACAGCACCTTTAAGCATAGGACTTTTCAGATTAATAACCTGAACTTTCTGCAGCAGAATGACCAGGAATGTATAAATTAACATAATCATGTTAAGCTTCACTGAAGATTAAACAATCAAAAGGTAATATTACTGTCTATGAATAGGAGGTAAACTCAAGTATGTGAGGAGGGTGTTTAAGTCACTTGCTCAGTGGAGATGTGGTACAATGCAAACACTGTGTGATTAGAGACTTTGCCCAAGCTTATTCTATCCTTGGATATAGCTCCCAAAGCCATTTACTGTACTATTCATTACACATTTCTAGAAAACACTGAAAGTTAACATGCCAATTATTCATTGCAGCTTGGGTTTTGGTAACTGCAGGAATTTTTCCTTTTGCCACAGATAATGCTGTTGTCTGACTGTTTGCAGGGTTTTGTTTTGTTCTGTACCCTGATTGCCTCCAAGAGTCAACATCCAGAAATAAATCTGGCAGCTTTTACTCAATCCTTAAGGAAAAAAAGTTGTTAGTTTAAATTTTACATGGCAGGGAAAAAACCCTCACATTTTTATTATTTAAGAGAAGTCTGCGTGTTTATCCAAGTCTTCTACTCTTTGGGCTTTGTGAGAATTCTGCCATTGAGTAACTGAAAATAAAATAGAGCCTTGCCTAAAGTATTAAATTCAATGAATCGCTTTTTTATTCAGCTATGTTTTTGTGTAATTCAGAGCACGGTTGTTTAACAGATGGAAGAAAGTACCACTCGAACAGCCTGTATTTAGAGAAAAAATATGCTAGAGGTTAATGAACTTGAAAAAAGTTTTGGGTGAGTTGTTAAGATATCTAAAGTTTGGATTTAGCAGAACTTTGTTAATAATGATTTGTTGTGATAGTTAACCAAATGGCTTACCATGCTCCTTTTACCAAAAGTCTGATCGTATGCAATAAAGCTCTGGATATGTTGGAGGAAATCTGACTAGCTAATTTTTTGTTTGGTTTTTTGTGAAAATACTCAACTTGTAAAAGCTGAGGACTATTGCCTACATTTACATAGCGAGGTACTTAAAGCTGGATACCTCACATACAGATGATTCAGTTAGCTTTTCAATCTGTGGTCTGTGACTCAGGAATTTTCTGAGATGCAAATCACTGGAGGCTGGGAATGGTATTTTGGGCAAGTAATGCTCTGTGCTGGACCTGTTCTCATACACTTTCACAGGTGTCTGTTTTTTGAGACAAATGCTGGACTGCCAAGGCTTCTTTGTCTGACCTAGTGCAGCCACTCTTCTGCAATGTCCTAGTCTCCATTTTTTTTCTACTTTGTGTTCATGTTATGGCCTCTGCTTAGAAGTAGTTTTCTAAGTAGTGAAATGTTTTCTATGGTGACATCTAATTGCTGGAAAAATGTATACATTGAAGCATGGGAAATAGGTTCAAATCTTTCTCCTTGATATTCCCCAAATTCTATAACACTTTGTTCTTTGTAGGTTTTTGTGTCCTTTAAAATGTCTGTCTGCTTTCCAGAAATACATTAGGTGATGTTGCTGTGAGGGTGAAGGGGGGTAGGGGGGGAATGAGAGATTCATTGCTCCTAACTATTATCTCTTGCCCTGCGTACTTAGATTGGTAGGGCAGCATTTAGAGATGTTCTTGCTTAATCGCCTGTTTTCCCTGGGTCGCAGAGGAAAAGATCCCCTACTGAAATGAAACTTTTCCTTAGCCTGTACTCTTTTTCTTCCTCTCAGATCAATTCCTGTCAGAACAGGTTTTCTGTATTAGTGAAGGTATAAATGTTACATGTCTGTAGTGACATTAGTTTTGCATTTTTAACTCAGCATGTTTTTAATGGACTGGAACATCCATAGTTGTTGCATGTGAACCTTATTCGCTTACGGTCTGCCTTCTTTCATTCTTTATTCCCTTCACCTCAAATGGCAGCTGTGCCAGTGAAAATACTCACTTGAAGGGTAGTGGTAGTAGCAATCCTATGGGGGTTATGGACTCATTCACCGTGGCACTTGCCAAAGAAAACAGATTTTAAGCTCTAGAGTCCTGCCTGTGGGAGGTTGCTGCAGAAATTGCACTGATTTAGTGCATCTCTTGGGTATTCTGGCCTTGGCCTCATCTTGCTGATTTCCCTCTTTTCAGGAGAGGACCAGCTGGTCCACTCCAAGTCTTCTCACAACGCTGGGCTTGAGGGGGGCCTATACTGCTGTTACGCGGTTATGGGTAGTCTTTCTTGTTGCCTTGCATGACCTATCTGGGTTGTTCTGGCAAAAATGACAGGTAGCTGAGGAGATACAGAAAGAATTCTTTGTTTTGTATGAATTGGTATGTTATTCACTGATTCTAAGTTTTTATATTATAAACCAATGGAATAATAAAGTGCGTAAGAGAACTTTGGGGTTTAATGTATGAAAATTAGATGTTAAATATTATTTGAATGGATTAAATGAGAAAGAGCATGCAGTCTATGTCTTAATGAGAAAAAGTAAGTGCTCTGCAGAACTGCACTCTTCTTCAGGAGTCCCACTTCTTTTGCTGCATCCTAGTTTTCAGACACCGTTGATTGATTACCAACTAAACAGCTTCTAAGTTAACAAAATGTACTTGTTAAAAATCAAGAAAAAGGTTACAATTAGCTATTCTAAACCATTGCCACAGAGTTTAAATTTGCCTTTTCCTGTCACCTTTCTTCCTGGAGCAATATGGCGCTTAGAAATCTGTGCTATTAACATGCATTTCCTGGTATTGAATCTAGTTAGTAATTCTAACTTGTATGTCTTCAAATGACTGGGAAAAATACAGAACTTTTGCTGTGTAGTTTTGATTGTCAGTCATGTAACTTTGCAGATGTCGCCATGCTGTGAGACTGACCATGCTTGTTTAAAGTATTTAATTTTTTTTTAACCTAGTTTCAGCTTTGTGTTTATTAGTATTAGAGTTACTGTAGTAGGAGAATCTTAGGAAATTACTTCTGAAGTCAAAGTTAAATTGCCATTACTTTGGCAAGATTGGGTCTTGCTAATGAAGCTTACCTGAATCCATTCTTCTGAGAGTAGAAAACATACAGATCTATTGTTCTTACTTCATGAAAGAAAAATTGTTAAAAATCATGTCAGTATGCGAGTGGAAAAGATCACATAAAAGATGCAAGATGTTAACAACTTGCCCACATCTTTGTATGTCATCTAATTTAATAAAATTTTTCACTATTCTTGTGTAAGGGAATCATCATTAACAATCTTTCCGCTTCTTGTTTCAAAACAAATCTCAAGTTATTCTTTGTTTCAGTTGTAGTTCAATGTAGTTTCTGTTTGCATATGCCAAAGCAGTTAAATAACCCTGAAGAAGCAAGGGAACCACTGAATTTCAAAATTCAGCTTTTTCTATGCCATCATGTATTTTCTCAGGCACAGAGATAGGTAGATGGCTCGAGATATTTTTGACTGAAATGTCATCTAAAATTTGCTGGGAGATGTAATTGAGCGGAATTGATGCAAATTTAGTTTAGTTTAATTTTTTATTTTCTTGTTTGCTTATAAGGAGCACTGCAAGCAGTATTGAATGTCAACTTGTAGGTAGGGAAAAATTACTAAACAGTAGAAGAACCCATGCTTCCAGGTTCAGGTGACCCACCAAGCTACCCTGAATCCCCGCGTCACTCTTCTGAAGGACAGAAGTTTATAGTACAGTGAGTCAGTGTGTGTTGTAGTTCTTTATTCTTTATCCCCCCCATTATATGATATTTCTTTTCTTCCTTATTTTTGAAAATTGTATGATCTCTAGAAAGCAGCATATCTAAGAAAGTGGCATTTGGGGAGTACAGTGGGCTTTAGCAGTGCTATAGCCTTCCTACTCTGCATCGCTACTTCTTGCTTGTTTCGACGACTCCATTAATGCTAATTTGTATTACATGTATCATAAATAAAGCACATAAATCTATCGTTCCACCTCCGGGTTCCTGTGGCATTATTTAGTCACTGAAGCTTTGGTGTTGAGCTGTATGTCGTCACCACCATTCCTTGTTAGAATTGCAGCATACCTCATACATTGATTTCCCTATTTAAGCTATGCCATGAAATGATAAAATGTAAACTAACTTCTTGGTGGTTATATGCAGCTGTCTAGGGAGTTGCACAATATTAATATTTAATATTATCTATTGTTTTTTTCTAGTAGGATCTATTAGTTAGCAGGACTCTTACTGTCGTGCTTTTTCCAACAATTTTAGCACGTCGGAAAGAGTCCATTGTCTATGCTGGAAAGGAGGTAACATTCAAAGAAATGCTGTTACTATTATTAAATGACTGAGATATGTTTTATGTTTCCAGACTGACTGACAAAAGGACCAATAACACTTAAATTGGGGGGAGGAGAGGGGAGAAGCAGAAATGAAGTGTAAGCAGTAAATGATTTCTGATTTTTTTTAACATTCTGTTCATCTTGTACAAAACCATTATTTTAAAATGCAGGGAGGAGTGATAACATGAAACAACTCTGATAACTAATAAACTTTTTAGATTCTGCTTCATATGTTTACTTTTCATTAAATTTAGGGACGGTTGCAACTATGTTGTTGTGAATCAGTCAACATTTATTTCTATCTGTTTTTCATATACAAAGGCATCGGGATGCCAGAAAATAAACTGTTAACGGAGAAT